TAGCTGCTCGACGAGAGGTACACCGACTGGTGTTATTTGTAGTATTCAATAGTAAACAAAATCTTTTGCAAGAAGTGGCAAGTGATTATAGTCTCGCCTGTGCAGTAGGCTCATACCCGCGGGATATTTCAACTCTGCAGTTTTGGATGCGGGTCACGTTATAGTTATAGGTCGGTTTTATGTCTCGAGACGGGGGGTGTGTGTGTATGTATGTGCGAGCGCGAGGGCACGTATTTTTCTGTGCACGTGTATATATGTAAGCCTGCATATACATGGATATGATTGCTAATATTTTATAATTTGCCTGTTGTGCCATCATATGTCACATAGGGTTAACAGACTTCTTCTTCTCAAAGTCTATGACATGTAGCGTTGGTAGTCATGTCTATCCACAACCTTTGCCTCGTGTACTTTCAATCAACTTTTGGTACAGCTGAACCTCCTTGCCATGGTGTCCAGCCTTTTTTCTCTGGGTCTCTTTCTGTCTCTCCTCCCCTCCAACTTTTCCACTGTCACGATGTACTCCAGTTTTCTCCTTCTCATCAGAAGACCAAAGAATGTACATTGTCTCTTTTTGATGCGGGCAATCAGTTCTCTTCATGAGTCAGGTTCTTTCAAGACGTCCTCATCACTCTTTGTATCTGTTCAGGGTATTCTCATCATTCATCTATAAAACCACTTTTCCGCAGCTTCCAGATAATTTTTTACGAAGCAGACTATTTCTTCATTTCGTTTCACCTTGCACAATCACTTCGATATCATAGATGAAATCTAGTCCAGCATCTGAGGCATCTCTGATCAACGTTCCTGTTGGGGTTTCTCTTGGACGTTTGCTAACACAGCAACTAAGAAACCCTACCTAACATGCACAATGGAAAACTGAGTACAAATTCTGAGGACAGGGAAAGAGTACTGCCAATAAAAGTTGTCTACAAATGTCTGTTTTATGACTGTTTGGACTTCTATAAATAAATATCAGCTTTATGGCTGGGTCTCCCTGGAAATAAGACAATTTTATGACTGTAGTATATAAATAATATTAATGGATACTACAATTTAATGACCCTTAATGTGTGCTGGGTAAATGTTGCTTTAGTTGAACCTGTATACGTTAGTTGGCATTTGATGGATGAGTTGATTAGTATCATGTCACTACTTTTACTAACAAGAACATATCATGTTGTCCGTTCTGGTTTAGTGGACATGTAAGCATAGGCTTTCAAAGGCCATTACAAGAAATATGTTGAGTAAGGACGGGATTCAGTATAGCCATGAGTCAGATCATCCTAACTTGGCGGTGCTCACAACAACGGTTTTAAAAGCGTCTGGTGGCATTTTTATTTTTAATATGTAACTACCTACCTAAGGCAACTTACCTGTCTAATGTAACTACCTGTCTAATGTAACTACCTGCCTAATGTAACTACCTGTCTAATGTAACTACCTGCCTAATGTAACTACCTGTCTAATGTAACTACTGTCTCAATGTAACTACTGTCCCAATGTAACTACACGCCTGGTGTGAATACCTACCTATTTTAACTGCAAGCCTAATGAACTACACGCTTAATGTCTAATGTTACAACATGTCTAATATTGATGTTACCTGTCTGATGTTACAACATATCTAATGTTACCTGTCTGATGTAACAACATGTCTAAAGTAACTACCTGCCTAGTGTAGCTATGTGGCGAGAACATGGATTCAGTTTACTCAGTTCAGGTCCTTGATGTTGACACTGAACATTTTCACGAACCCTTAGAGAGAAGAAACCAGTGTTAGTTCTCAAGAGTACTTCAGCAAACGTTAAATAAGCAAGCATGCACAGGTGCAACTTAATTTTTTTTTCCTATTTTTCTGAAGAACTCTTCACAAGGGCAGCAACTGTAGTCTTAGATTAGCTTTATTACGTATGTAACCAGCAAGTTAATATGTTCATGTATTTGGGTACCTTAATGACAGATATACTACATCTTCTTTTGTTCTACTGAAATAAGTGGTCTACATCTGCAGTTTTTTTTTTTTTTTTGTCTCATATAAATTTCCCTGTCCTGTTCAGTTCGTTCAGTGGTCTGTAGAGTTGACTTTCCATTGTTCTTTTTAGCCAAATTTGGTGTAAAATAGCCTGAGCAATAGTATTTTTTTTTTTTAAAGTCTTACTGCCTGTTTTCACTAATTTTAGACCCTGTGTAGTTTTAGGAGGTTGCAAGTCTAGAATTTTAGGGTGACACGACTGGTCTGGTGATTAAGGGCTGCATGGCTACTATGAGGATTAAGGGCTGCATGGCTACTGTGAGGATTAAGGGCTGCCTGGTTACTGTGAGGATTAAGGGATGCATGGCTGCTGTGAGGATTAAGGGCTGCATGGCTACTGTGAGGATTAAGGGCTGCATGGCTGCTGTGAGGGATAAGGGCTGCATGGCTACTGTGAGGATTAAGGACTGCATGGCTACTGTGAGGATTAAGGGCTGCATGGCTACTGTGTTGGTGGCTACTGTGAGGATTAAGGGCTAGGGCTGTATGGCTGGCTACTGTGGATTTAGGACAGCATGGCTACTGTGAGGATTAAGGGCTGCATGGCTACTGTGAGGATTAAGGACTGCATGGCTACTGTGAGGATTAAGGGCTGCATGGCTACTGTGAGGATTAAGGGCTGCATGGCTACTGTGAGGATTAAGGGCTGCATGGCTACTGTGAGGATAAGGGCTGCATGGCTGCTGTGAGGATTAGGGCTGCACGGCAGGTCTGAAGATTTAGGGCTGTATGGCTGGTCTGTGGATTTAGGGCTGTATGGCTGGTCTGTGGATTTAGGGCTGTATGGTTGGTCTGCGGATTTAGGGCTGTATGGCTGGTCTGTGGATTTAGGGCTGTATGGCTGGTCTGTGGATTTAGGGCTGCATGGCCGGTGCAGTTGACACAAACTGTGCAGGTAAGGATATTTAAAGTTTGACACCAAGAGACTTAAGAATATCAGTGCTGATGGCAGTCAAAAAGGACTTGAAGGTTTGACCCCAAGAGACTCAAGAATCTCAGTGCTGATGGCAATTTAACAGGACCTGAAGGTTTGACACCAAGAGACTCAAGAATCTCAGTGCTGATGGCAATCTAACAGGACCTGAAGGTTTGACACCAAGAGACTCAATAATCTCAGTGCTGATGGCAATCTAACAGGACCTGAAGGTTTGACACCAAGAGACTCAAGAATCTCAGTGCTGATATCAGTCCAACATGACCAGAAGGTTTGACACCAAGAGACTCAAGAACATCAGTGCTGATGTCAGTCCAACATGACCTGAAGGTTTGACACCGAAAGACTCAAGAATCTGAGTGCTAGGCTGCGATATCTGAGCCTATTGGCCCAACACATCCTGAGTGAAACCTTAAGTTTTCGGTAAGTAAGTAAGTAAGTAAGTGACCCTTTTCCATACCTTTAAGTGCATAGGGCCGGCCTATAGGGAGAGACCTATATTTTATAGACCAATTGGCATGCGGTGGGTGATGTGGTCAACGTCATGCCGGCCACCTTTACTTTCCATGACATTACCTGGTGCCCATTCAAGTCCGGCTCCGTCAGGATCTGAACCCAGGACCTTTGGATCAGCAGGCCAGCGTCTAGCCCCTACGCCAAGGCGGCTCCCTTAAGTTGTCAGTCAGGTTTTAAAATATGCTTACAAGGGGCAGATGATATCTATCGATCTATGCCCAACCCCCCTTTTCCCCTCCCAGACGGAATCCCAGCATCCTCAGGAAGAGGAAGTACGGTGGCAGAAGGCTGTGGCCTTGACAACAGAGCCAACGCCGCACACAAAGTGAAGTAAACCTGATAACAGTGACAGACAGGCTCAATATCCTTGGTCTTATTTGAACTTAAAGGACGCTCTATTTAAAAGCAAGACTCCATATATTTGACTCCGTCAGCAGGGGTGTGTAAAAGCCGCTGCATTTATTCTGACAGGTAAAATCATTATGCCTAACTTGAAGACGGGCTGTGTCGGCCGCAAAATGAGCAGTTAGCTACAACATGGCACAACAAAGAAAAGCGTGACCTACATTTTATTTGGTCTCCGTGCATGTCTGATGACGTCAATGCGTTGTGTGAGCACAGTCGGGTTTACTTGTGTGATTAGGATCTGCGTTTGTCCAACAGCTGTCAAGTTTAACACTGGAAATTCTCGCAGCTTAATAATAAGTTCGGTGATGGTATCATAGGTAACAGATTACACTCATAGAAGAGTGAGTCACAGTGTATCGTCCCTCAGACATTAGATAAAGTGTTATAGGACTAAAACTATAAATCTCTTTCAGTGGCCTATAATCACCAATCACCGCTTACACTTTTGATTGCCAATATTTAAAAAAAAAAAAATACTTTTTATAATTACTGTATACTATTTATTACAAATACACAACTGGGTTTACATCTGGAAGATAATGAAAAGAACGCTGGCTTCACGCACACATATTCTTAAACAGCAAAGTTACCAGAAAGAAAATATCACGTGGTTACCCCCCTCCCCCAAACGCCTCGCCACTGTCTCGTTTTTGAGCGGACAGTCTTCGTGTATTAAAATATGAGATTTTATTGATGTTAGAGAAGTCATGTTTTATAACATGACAGTATACGTTTATCACATGTAAACACCTTTTGATATTCAACACAACATAAGGCAATAACTAGTGAAATAGGTGTACTATTTCCACATATACAAAATATACGCTCACTGTATGAGATACACACGCACTCGTTTTTGTTTTTAAAACGATGTTTGGTTAAAGTAAAGATTAAAAAAAAAAAAAAAACACTTGTCCTGTTGACTGGTAACATTAATTACATCCAGTCAGCGTTCCTTGGTCCAGATAGAATTAATGCTCACGTGAAAGGAAAGACAAACGAATAAAAAGGGAAAAGTGAGGATGATTAAGGAGATTTAAAAAAAAAAATTAATTAGGTAAGCGGCATGCAAAAATTACAATTTAAAAAACAGAAGCCAACACTTACCTTGCCTAATGGAGACCTTCTTGTTGTTTGCTAGGGATGTAAGGACAACTTGAGGACAAGAGTCCTCCAACATAAACAGCTCATCCCTGCTCACTGTCTTGTTCCTGCCTTTCATGGTAGCAGTGGCGCCTACAGCAGTCAGATAGGCCCCGGTACAATCCCTGAAGGCAAGTCCACAGTTAGCCCCGCTCTTAATCTCCAGAGTAAACCGACTGTCATCACTCAAGTCTGTGCTCAAGGTGCCGTCCCTGTTGAGAAAGCGGTTGTCGTATGTCTTGAGAGCATACTTGCCGTTGTCAAAGTGAAGAATAATTAGGGCTTCTTTGCCCCAAGGAATGACCTCGGTTACCTGCAACTGTTCATCTTTCAAATGGGCATACCTTTTCCTATTCACATTTCGAAGATTGACTTGTGGGTGGATAGACAGCTGAACTACCCACAGCTCGTTATCTGTTACTGACTTTGAGAAACATTTAAAGTTGTCTTCATTACCTCCCAAGTAGTTTCCGTGAGCTACATTTCTGAAGGCCCACTTTCCCGATCCATGCTTGTCGTACTCGACTGAGAACTTCTCCATCTGATCTCGTTCCTCGGCCTCGCATGTAACATTTCCGTACTTATCAGCGGACAGATAACGTCCCGTGTGACTCTTGATGTACAAGACCTCCTCTAGCGGGTCCTGTTCCAAAATGAATGTCTGCTTCTTTTTCAATGACGTTCCCGAAACATTGATCTTAAATCCGAACGACTCTGCTGTGAGGTATTTGCCTGCACTGTTGATAAGACCAACCTTCCATTGAAGATCGGGTTTGCTGCTGCCGTTGACTCCGTTGGTTGCTGTCATGTTGGCGTGAATCCCTTGCTATTCAATTAAGCTGGAAGTTAAAATTACGTGCTATATCACGGATCTCTTTGTGTGAGACTCAAATTTACACCACACTTTCGACAAACGAAGACTACAACTAGTCACAACTCTCCTGGTGAGATGTGCTCGAATACCGGAGAATAACGACTAAGAAAATATCTTCAACAAACTGCCCACGACGTGAAAGAGTCGGCGCCTCTCTGTTCGTTCGCTCTCGCGTCCTCGGTCAACTGTATCGTCTGCTAGTCCTCCACGCCGCTCCACGCACACGCGTACCCCTCAAGCCCTCGCGTCTCAAACCCTGCCCAGACACGCTGTTCTCATTGGTCCCATTCGTTGAGCCAGCGTTGTCTCGCAGCTTGGGCTTCGATCAGTTTCTTAATTACCAACACATCAAGAAAAGAGGGAGCAATTCACTGGTCCCTTCACCTCCCGGTCAGTGTTGTCACTTTGGATCTTTTATATCCAAATTTAGATCTTTTTCATTGCATTTAGATACTGTTTTTGACGTTTAGATCGTAAATATTTTTCTAGACACTTTTCATATGGAGTTAGATATTTTATAGATTTTTTTTTCTTTCATTGTCAATTTAATAATTACCTTGTAAAATATTTACTACAATATTTTTGTACATTGTGACAACTGCCATTACTTGAACTTTGAACTCTCACTGGGGTCAACGCACAAATATCTGGCAGCCCCGGTACTGAATAATAAAAGCGCGCGTAAATCATACTAACTTTGTTTCAACCGTATCCTCACTGTGCTGACTTTGCGTTTCTTTTTCATGTGATTTCACTCGGTAAAAGACTGGTGTTGCCAACCTCTAAAGCTGATTTGCTCACTTGCACTATAGAGAGCTATTTGGCTCCTAAGCCACACTTTGGATATTAATTCGAATAAAAAAATTGATGATTTAAAAACAAAAGGTCTGTTAACAGAGAATGAAGAGAACAACTTAAGAAAATCAGTTAACCAAAATAAAGTTAGCTGAATGGACAAACAAAACAGAAACTCAAGCATTTTGGAGTGATGTGAGACAATTTAAAGATACCTCATCAAACAGTCTATTATGTAAGCTCTTTAAAGTGCCATGTCTGCCATGATACTACCCCACGCAAATGCTGGCGAAGAAAGAGTTTTCAGTGCTAGGAATTATATCAAATCTAACCTAAAAAACTGGATGAAGTTTGACCTCTCAAATGCTATCGTGCCATTAAAATTCGGCCTGATGAGACTAGAGAAATAAGCCTACTATTCCACTTATAAAGAAATTGGAACAGCTAAAGCATACCAGGGTCATTTTGGATCTGAAGCTTCAACTTCATCATCCAAGCTAAGTTGATTCTGTGGATCTTGTGAGGCAGACATCAGTGAAGGTGAGGACATGATTTTATGTAGGGTAAGTCATAACAAAAGCTATGTAATTTTTGACTTTTTCAATTTGGATGTTTTTCTAGATCTTTTCCACGCAGATTTAGATATTTTAAGATATTTTTTGACACCGTTTTGGATACTTTTTGCCAAAGAAAAGTGGCAACACTGCTCCCGGTTCTTCATCACACAAGTTCACGTTCCTTTATGGCGTCGACACCATTCCGCAAAAGATCTTTCTGAAAAAAAGCTGAAGATTTGTTTTGCTATATTTGGGTACTGTACAGAATATAGTACATCATCATCACGTGCCCTGCCAACTGGCGTACGCGCTCATGCATCTCCACAGATCACGATCACTGTTTACCTGGAGCAGCTTTCTTGATTATATCCCCCCTAATGCCATCGTTTCATCCAGCATCACCTCTCTTTGTCTGCCTCTACCCTTCTTTCCAGTTGTTACGATGCTTTCAATGCCCCTTTTCTCATTCCAGTGGAGTGAAGCAGGGATGTGTACTTGCCCCTACCCTCTTTAGAATATACTTCTCACTTCTTTTGGAACATGCTTTTCGCGGTCCATTCTCAATATGACGGCAGCCTCTACAATGCGTGCAGGTTGAACGCCAAAACCAGGATAAGAAAGGTACTTATCAGAGAGTTGCTGTTTGCAGATGATGCCGCAATAACTACTCCTCGTCAGAGGAGGTGCTGCAGTGTTTACTATCTGCCTTTGCTGATGCATGCTTTGAATTTGAACTAACAGTCAGCAAAAATAAGACAAAGGTTCTGGTGCAAGGTGTTAATGACAGACCTACAGTCTACACTGACCGCGTAGAGCTGGAGACAGTAGACCTTTTTACCTATCTAGGTTCCACAGTGAATAACATACTATCGCTGGACCAAGAAATCAACATCAGGATAGGTAAGGCAGCAACAACAATGATTAGATTGACACAAACAAGTTTGGAAGAACAGAAAGCTCACAATTAAAACAAAAACTCTTGTCTATCAGGCTTGTGTTCTCAGCACTCTGCTTTATGGCAGTGAAACTTGGTCAACTTCTTTGCAACAGGAGAGACGGCTAAAAAGCTTTCACATGCGACGCCTAAGAAGAATACTTGGGATTAAGTGGCAGGACAAAATCACAAACACGAGGTACCAATCAATCAGTCTTCTCATTACGTGGCCAAAGAACAGTGTTTGTCTCCTTCTTATTGTTGTATGTAGAGATCTACTTTCTTTATCTTCTTTCAAACAATCGTTGTTAGTTACCCTGGTCGTCCCATGTATTCGTAACAGATCTACTTTCTTTATCTTCTTTTAAACAATCGCTGTTAAGTTACCCTGGTCGTAACACTCGTCTCAGATTATCATACATTTCTTGTAAATTTGAATCAAGTGCCGTCTCCACAATGCAGGGTTGCTGCAATAGCCCTACAACACTCGTTGTGTCTTACTCTGGTTGTAATTTTGCACAGACTACTGTTCGTCCGTCCATATCTTGACGTCATCATCCTACATGTATCACTGTCTACCTCTTGCTCGCCAGCTTGAAAAAGAACATGGGATTTTAATATTCTTCTTGTTCGCTTTGACAGTAACACTCATAATTCTTATATGGAAATACAGATGTGACGTTCCCTGTGTGGGTTCCAGGGCCCTTTTGTAGGGAAAACAAGAATAGACCCACAGACTACCCAAAAGCATGTCGTAAGAGTCGACTAATTGGGAGATTCCTTCAAAGTCGAATAAAGATAAAATAAAGATATTCCTTCGAAGTCGAAGTGCACCTGCCTGAGAGGCAAGGAACCAACAGCTGCATTCGAATGCTGTAAAACGGATGCACACGCAACACTCAGGTTCTGGAAAAATACTAAAAGCCCAGAAATGGCTGAACAACCAGAACTTTCCGCCAGAGTTGAAGAAGAAGAAGATATGACCTGGCCAACGTAAAATGTAATATCTATCAGCATACTTATAAAGAAAAAGAAGAAGAAGAAGAAGAAGAAGAAGAAGAAGAAGAAGAAGAAGAAAAAGAAGAAGAAGAAGAAGAAGAAGAAGAAGAAGAAGAAGAAGAAGAAGAAGAAGAAGAAGAAGAAGAAGAAGAAGAAGAAGAAGAAGAAGAAGAAGAAGAAGAAGAAGAAGAAGAAGAAGAAGAAGAAGAAGAAGAAGAAGAAGAAGAAGAAGAAGAAGAAGAAGAAGAAGAAGAAGAAGAAGAAGAAGAAGAAGAAGACGACGACGGAGGAGGAGGAGAAGAAGAAGAAGAAGAAGAAGAAGAAGAAGAAGAAGAAGAAGAAGAAGAAGAAGAAACTACACATATTGTCATCGGTATAATTACCCTCACACAATCTTAAATTAACTTTTGCCATAATTACATTCTTACAATTTATTAAACTTTTAGAATTAAGTTTTTGGAATCTTCCATTCTATTTACTAAAGGAAGCCTTCCAGCTTTCTTCAAATAAGTCGATTGTCGCATGAGAGCCCAACACCCCTCTGTTCTTAGACTTTCCCACATCTTGTACACCTCTATATAAATGAGATATTTCAAAACTTGGACTTCCCCCATAAGTAAATAGTCCTTCTTTTGTACTTGTGTGTCAAGATGCCGGGATAGATACTCAAATCTATCCTAATTCTCTAGAGAATTAAATATATTTAAATTCGGCTATATATGTACGACTTTTACTTATAGCGAAGCCAAATTTCATTGACCCAACTACCGCTTTGGGCACGGATGAATCCCCTCCCACGTCTGCCCGGAGGGACACTTAGATTTGGGAGTTCGGACCTTTGGCCAGGGTTCCATGTTGGCATTTTCTATGACAGATTCCACAAATTTGGCATATTTGACATTTAACTGGCATAAGATAATGAACTGGCATATTTTGGCATATTTGGGTTTTCCCTGGCTTTTCTTATCAAGATGCGCTCAGATTTGCTTCATGGTTCCTCCGTTAGAAACACGCAGATTTGCTAAAAGCAATTTAGATCTACAGTTAACATCTTTATTTCAGTTTGACTTTTTTGTGATGTCCTCGTACGGACTAATGGAGATTCGCGCCCTTTCTTATTATATTTGTTATCTTCCTAAACGGATCATGACTCCTATAAACCCAGGCCCTCTGTAATTTATGTTAATCTACTAGAATGAATGCAGGATATAAAACTTAAACCCACCACTGATACCGAGTGATTCAGAATGTTCAGAAACTACACGAGGACAGAAAATAGAGAGGATATAGACCTAGTTCTATCTGTGATAAATTTTATTACTTTAACCAATGGCCACGTCATCCAAAAAAATGGAAAGAGTCTTATGACATCGCAAGTATAGGATAACTGGAAGACAACATACCCACGGCTCAAAAGATTTTCAGACGGATCAGAGACAGCCTATTGCAAACTGTGTCAGTGCACTGTTGAACCAAGAATTCTTCTTCTTCTGCCTTTCTATCCCCCAATGGAGCATAGGCGTTCAACCAACTCACGCCAAGTCGTTCTATCCTTCGCCATTGCATGGAGCTCTCCCCATGTCCTCCCAATCTTTCTAACCTCGTTCTCCAGCTCTCTTCTCCGTGTGTTTTTTGGCCTTCCTTTATTC